ATATTGATGATGTGGGTAGTACAAGAGTAGATCTACCACGAGATCAGAGAGGCTAAACCCTAAAAGCTTGCCTATGGTATGATTGTTGTTCGTCCTATGGACTAAAACCCTCCGGTTTATATAGACACCGGAGAGTGCTAGGGTTAAATAGAGTCGGTTACAATGGGAGGAGATCTACATATCCGTATCGCCAAGCTTGCCTTCCACGCCAAGGAAAGTCCCATCCGGACACGGGACAAAGTCTTCAACATTGTATCTTCATAGTCCGGGAGTTCGGCCAAAGGTCATAGTCCGGCCATCCGGACACCCCCTAATCCAGGACTCCCTCAACCACGCCGAGAGAACTTCTAGAATTTCTTCAGGAGCATTGCTAGCTCCTGGCTCAGTTCTTCAGGATCACTAAGGCCGCTACCAGAATCTTCACCTTCAGATTCAGAGATTGCCTTGGCCTTCAATGCGCGTGATTTTCCATAGCTCGGCCCATAGAGGTCTCTCTTCTCAGCAAGCTGGAATTCATGAGTATTTAGCCTCTCGAGGATATCAGCAGGATCTAGTGACTTGTAATCTCCTCGTTCTTGAATCATCCGTGCAAGGGTATTGAATGAGGAATCAAGTGATCTCAACAATTTCTTCACCACCGCATGGTCGGTGATGTTAGTGACACCAAGTTCTTGAAGCTCATTTGAGATGTCAGTGAGGCGATCGAAGGTTTGCTGAACATTTTCGTTGTCGAGTCTTTTGAAGCCATTGAAGAGATTGCGAAGAACATCAACTCGGGAGTCATGTTGTTTGGAGACTCCTTCGTTGACCTTGGACAGCCTGTCCCAGATCAGCTTTGCTATTTCCAAAGCACTCACTCTGTCGTACTGTCCTTTCTCAGATGGCCACATATGATATTCTTCGCTTGAGAATCGAGTTGCTTGAATCTCTTCACATCAACAACATTCATAGATGGAGTGACAGAGGGAACACCATTTTCCACAACATACCAGAGATTGTTATTAATTGCCTCAAGATGCATGCGCATCTTATTCTTCCAGTAGGGGTAGTCCATCCCATCGAAGGTAGGACACCCAGCCAAGACCTTGATCATTCCTGCAGTCAACATAACTAAAACTCCAGGTGGTTAAACCAAAACCACATAGAACAAGGGAGTACCTTGCTCTGATACCAATTGAAAGTGTGTTATATCGACTAGAGGGGGGTGAATAAGCGATTTTTACAAATTCGTCACTGAGGAATTTCTAGGTGAAAACATTCCTAAGTAACGACACACTAGCAGCGGAATAAGTACTCAGGTAAAAGCATAATAGAGCAAAAGCATAGTCATCATGATGAAATGAAAGCAAGCACAGAGTACAGATAGCGTGAAAACAGGATAAGCAGGCTGAAGACTATGTGACTAAAGAAATAGGATTGAGGAAATAGAGAAAGTCTTCAGTCAAAGTCTTCAAACAGTAATGATCAGTTTCATCAACACATGAATGAGTAAATGAAAGGGATGAGGAAATAAAACCAGTTGGCTTGATGAAGATAATGATTTGGTAGACCAGTTCCAACTGTTGTGACAGTTGTACGTCTGGTTGGAGTGGCTGGGTATTTAAAGCTGAGGACACACAGTCCTCACTGTATTCTCCTTGAGCTAAAGTCACACAGACCTCGCCCAATCACTCGTGGTAAGTCTTCAAGTGACTTCCAAACCTTCACAGACTTGGTCACTCAGCGATCCACAATTCCTCTTGGACGCTCAGACCATGACGCCTAACCGTCTAGAGGATGCACAATCCTCAAAGGTAACAAGCGTCGGTTCCACACAGGAACAATCTCTTCAGTGATGCTCAATCACTTTGGGTTGTAGGTGTTTGGGTTTTGGTTTTTTCCTCACTTGATGATTTTCGCTCAAAGTCCTCGGAGGATGGGATGCTCTCAATAACAAGTGTCAGTTTCTTCAGAGCAGCCAACCAGCTAGTGGTTGTAGGGGCGGCTATTTATAGCCTAGGGAGCAGCCCGACATGATAAGACATAAATGCCCTTCAATGGTATGACCGTTAGGTGGGTAGATATTTTGGGATAGCTGGCGCGTAGCACAACAATGATTGGATATTTGAGGATCAAATTCTGCAGGGCTATCATGTTCCCCACTGTCGGTGTCAAAACCGACAGATCTCGGGTAGGGGGTCCCGAACTGTGCGTCTAAGGTTGATGGTAACAGGAGGCGGGGGACATGATGTTTATCCAGGTTCAGGCCCTCTCTATGGAGGTAATACCCTACTTCCTACTTGATTGATCTTGATGAATATGAGTATTACAAGAGTTGATCTACCACAAGATCGTAATGGCTAAAACCCTAGAAGTCTAGCATGTATGATTATGATTGCCTCTACGGACTAAGCCCTCCGGTTTATATAGACACCGGCGGGGACTAGGGTTGTACAACGTCGGTTACAGAAAAAGGAATCTTCGTATCGGGGCGCCAAGCTTGCCTTCCACACCAAGGAGAGTCCCATCCGGACACAGGTGAGAGTCTTCGGTCTTGTATCTTCACAGCCCATCAGTCCGGCCCATGTCAATAGGCCGGACGTCCGAGGACCCCTTAATCCAGGACTCCCTCACTCACTGTGTAGGCAATCCGCACTGGTGAATTCCTAACTCCTCAGTCAGAACAAATTCCTCAGAGACTAGAAGATCTTCATCTCTGTCACTGAAGAAATTGACTGAACTGATATGAGATTTCCAATGGCTTCACTCGAAGGGATTGGGTAGGTGTAGGATTTGAGTTGAGCATCACTTGGAAATCACTTTCCTTAGTATTACCTCGACCCCCTTTAACAGTACGGTGTTTCCTATGACTCAAGAAAGAGAAAATGAAACTACGAAAACAAAAGTCTTCACGCCTCGTAATCCTCGCATGAATATCCAAGTCTTCAAGGTTACACCAATGTCTTCACTTTCAAAGTCTTTAGGAGAACCAAAGTCTTCAGCTGAAGACATACATTTTTAGGGGTCGACTATCATCGTAAATATCAAACTCCTCATCGACTTATAGAGCCTGTGTACACTCACAAACATATTAGTCCCTTAACCTATAAGTCTTCAATAACCAAAATCACTAAGGGGCACTAGATGCACTTACAACAACACTAGCACCACTTTCGATCAAGGGACTCTATTCATCAATGCTGGGCACCATCAACGACGAATGCCAAAAGTGGCCCGGATGCTTGGAAAATGTTGGTCCTATGAACCCGAGTGGTTGTGGTGATAGTGACTTGGTAGTCCTTTGCTACTTGTGTGTGTTTTCTCTACATTGCGCAAATATTGAAATGTTCCCTAATTTGATGATGACATCTTGGTTGTTTCCTTGTAGAAAATGATTGCGCAAGGATTATTTCGAGAGGAACAACAAGGGAGAGAAGAGGAAGAAGAAAGGAAAAGCTTTCACTTTCCCTCAATGCTACAAAGAGCTCAAGGATGAGGAGAAGTGGAAAACTAGAGAAATTTATGATGCTTCAAAGAAGAAAAGTGTGGTGGTGAAGGATGATGAAGATGGCAATGGTGAGGAGAGAAGGATCCCCACTCCTCTCTCAGCGACTAAATCATATAGTGCGGATGGATGTAAAAAAGTGAAGAGATCCAGGGCCAGAGACAATGATCTTAAAGAAGGATATGACACCATTATCATTGCGATGAAAAAGTATGTCGAAGAAAAGAAATGTTGGAGTTAAAAGAAATGGATGAGAGGGGAGAAGTCGAGCGATGGAGGAGAGGGCGGTGGCCAAGGAGAGGTTGGCGACGGTCGAGGAGAGAAAGGTTGTGCTAGAGGAGAGGAAGGCGGCGGCCGAAGAGCTCAAGATGATTGAGGAAAAGTCACTCAAGTTTATGTTCATGGACACAACTAGCCTTGTTCCCAAAGCAAAGGCGTATGTCGAGCTTTGTCGCGATGAAATGATCATGAAGAAGCAAATGCTTATGAGAAGTATGATGAGAGAAGTCATAGATGAAATGGGGGGAGGAATGGGAGGTGCCATGAGTGGAATGGGAGGAGAAATGGGAGGTGCCAAAAACGGTGGAACGGGCGGCTACATGAACATGATGGGAGGTGCCATGAAAGGTGCATTTGGTGGCAACATGGATGGTGGCTTCGGTGGCATGGCCGATGGCTTTGAAGGCAACGTGGGCGGCATGGGAGGTGGCTTCGACAGCAACATGAGTGGCATGAGAGGTGACTTTGGTGGCAACATAAGCGGCATGTGAGGTGGCTTGGGTGGCAACATGAGCGACATGGGTGGTGGCTTCGGCGACAACATGAGTGGCATGGAAAGTGGCTTTGATGCAAACATGAACGACACGGGAGGTAGCAATGAAGGTGCTTCCGGTGGAGGTCACGGCACTGAGACGTCAACGCATGAAAACGTCAATAAAAAAGCCATTGATGATGATGAAGCCACCATCCACAATGTGACTAATTAGAACGGAGAGGACGAGCATTGAGTGATATGTCCAGTGTTATGCTTGTGTGCATTTTAATTTGTTGGACCAAGAACTTTGTTTGAGATGATGCACTTTTGGTTGTAGGATTTCAAACTTTATTGATATGATGTACTTTTGGTTGTAAAATTTTGAAAATATTCAAATTCTTTTTCATGTTCAGCTGCGGCTGTCGGCTGTAGAGCAACCGCTCGGCCCTCGGCCGGTTATACATCTTCAATTTGCTTTATCTACTGAAGTTTAACTTTTACATCGTCAATGTACATCATCTGTTGGAGTTGTCTCTTTTTTATTGTAAAAATGCACTTTTCATGAAGTAAATTATATAACACCTTGTTTTACATCTCTGAAATGCAACAGAAGATTCTCTAAAGATGGCACCTATTATTTCAAAAGCAATTCTGGAAGTGCACGCACCAACCCATTTGTGGAAATAAACAACAAATCACGACTTCACGTCGCTGGAAGCTTGTAGGTAACCAAACGACACGCGTATGGTGTGTTCGGAAGCACTAAGCGGCGGCGCCCAGCTGGCTGCCGGCGACGTCGATGACGAAGCGGTATCTCACGTCGTTCCTCTCCAGCCGCTCGACCGCCGTATTAACGTAGTCCATCTTGACGACCTCGACGTCGGCGGTGATGCCGTGCTTCCCCGCGAAGTCCAGCATCGCCTGGCAGCTGCCGATGCTGCCCACGAGGTTCCCGGCCACGCGCTTGCCGCCACCGATGATGGCGTAGGCAGGAAGCTCCAGCGGCGTGCTGGGCGCGCCCACCACCACCAGCTGCCCCCTCGGCTTTAGCAGCTCCAGAAGCGGCACGATCGGGTGCCCCGCCGACACCGTGTCGATGATGCCGTCCATCGTGCCGGCCGCCGCCTGCACCCGAAAACGTAGGCGCGTCAATGGCTCTCGTCCCGTGCCAAGAATCACGTGTCACACGCACGAAGGGTCAGTTAATGGAAGGAAGCAACTGAAACAAGACGTAACCTTCATTTGCTCGGGGTCCTGGCTGACCAAGAACGCGTCGGCGCCGAGCCGCTCGACGGCCTCCTCCCGCTTCCTCGGCGACGAGCTGATCACGGTGACGGTCATCCCGAACGCCTTGCCGAACTTGACGGCCATGTGGCCGAGGCCCCCGAGGCCGACCACGCCCAGGTGCTTCCCCGGCGCGTTGAGGCCGAACTCCATCATGGGGCTGTACACCGTGACGCCGGCGCAGAGCAGCGGCGCCGCCCCGTCCAGGGGAAGGCCCTCCGGGACGCGGACGACGTAGCCCTGGTCGACGACGAGGACGTTGGAGAAGCCGCCCTGGGTGGTGGCGCCGTCGTAGTCCACGGCGTTGGAGGTGAGCACGAGCGTGGGGCAGTGGTTCTCGTGCCCGCTGCCGCAGCTCACGCAGGAGCGGCAGGAGTCGACGAAGTAGCCCACGCCCACCGCGTCCCCGGCCTTGAAGTTCTTGACGCCGGGGCCAACCTCGGTGACGACGCCAACAATCTCATGCCTGCGCCGCATGACATGAATCCATCATTAGTTTGTACTACTAGAAATTTGGAGGAGGCAAATCGTCGGATGATGCTTGGTAAGGTTCACCCACCCGGGGACGACGGGGTAGAGGGCGTTGCCCCACTCGTTCTTGGCGATGTGGAGGTCGGTGTGGCAGATCCCGCAGAAGAGCACTTTGATCGTGACATCGTCGTCCTTCAGAGCCCTGCTATCATGCATCACGTAGGGGGATTCGTCAGATCGGCGCAAGAAGCAGAGGTGCATTATAGGGACTTGACTGGAATACTGGATAGAGGAAGACGACCTTCGTGAGAAGCTGTAGGGGGAGAGGACACCGGACGTGTCCCTCGCCGCCCAACCGATAGCAGGCATGCCTTTCGCCATTGATGACCGCTTGCTCTGCTTCTTCGGTCCTAGCACTTCGATTTCCTGCTCTAAAATCCGGATATTACTACCAAGCCGCGAGGTTGGGGATAAATAGGCAAGCTGACGAGTTGGATTGGACGTCAGACGCTACGTGTGTAGGGCATGGACGTCAGCTACTATGTACTCCAGCTACAGTGGTGCGGTATCAAATGGGAAACACATGCTCACATAGTTTACTCCCAAGTCCAAGTCCCAACCCTACCTTCGCCGCAGCCACCGGGAAGGGGGGCTCGTGCTGCTCAACTGTAAACCTACACACCTTTTTTTTGGAGGGACCTACTCATCAATTATTAAGCGGTCCATTCGATGTGGGGTCAATGATCGTTGGCTGGCATTTCAAAAGAAAAAGAAATGATCGTCGGCCGGCGAATGATTCGACATGTCTCGTGATAACGGACGATCCAGCGAAGACGAACCCTACCTACCACAACTTTTAGCTAACAACCCGATTCATGAGAAGAGAAAGAATATCTAAATTTATTGGTACTCCAACTGATTGTTACTGCAACTCGTTACCTAAACAGGGATGATTCGGAATCTTGCCACATGATCAGTTGAGCTTGTGAAGTAGAGTACCTATCGGTCGACTTGATTGTACTATAATCCTATCTATCCGTGATCTTATTACTATATACAGTCGCTCTGAACCTTTTTTCTTGAATCGTATTAATAAATGCATGATTCGTTTGAGGTGCTCCGAGTTGTATGGTACTCTAATGTCCCTAGTCGTAGAGGATGGGAAGTGTTAGTGTGGTGGGGGTTGTCTGAAGACTAATATTTCTAACAGCGGATGGCCACACTAACAGGTCAGTGGACAGGGAGATGTCAACAACCTAAGGGCATCTTCAACAGATCCCCTAAAACCAATTAGAGAAGTAAAAAAAACGACTTACTCCTCTAAATCAGACCTAGTCGATCCCCTAAAACCTTTAGGTGAGAAAATATTTTACTCCGAGCGGCCGCCGAGGGGTAAAATTACTCGCCCTCCGAGTCACCAAGTAAACCATCTCCTGTCCCCACTCGCCTCACCGCAAATCGCAACCCATGCCACCCAATCCCCTCCCGCGTCACACTCCACCGCCTACACGCCGACGACAATGGTTCAATCCGAACGCCGCTGCTCCCTGCCGCCCATCCGTAGCACTCGGCCGACGGATCCACGCGACACCATTTCCTCTTCATGCGACGACGATAGCGACGACCCCGCCAATGATCAGAGGTTTGCGCAAAAGGGAGTGGAAGGAGCTCGTGGAAGAATCAGACTAGGTTTAAATTTCTAGCTAGAATTGTGAATTTAGTTTAAATTTATGTAAAATATTTAGAATTTGCACCGAATGTGGTTTAAGTATGTTTTATGTACTAGTTTGAACCTAATTCACAAGAAATTTGTGTTAATATGCCTTTCGAATTTATTACTTCGTTAAGTTTGGGGTTTTGCCTAGAAACAACATTTCTTAGAGGAGCAAATGTGCTCCTCTAAAGTTTACGCCGCCGTTTACTCTAAAATTTAGGGGATCGGCTAGAGTGCCCTAATAGATGTAGCTGGACTGTTGAAGTTGGGAACTCCGAGTTGGACTTGAACTATTCGAGACACAACGGGTTATGTAGTGGTGGGCGCACGGCAGATGCCAAAGGATGGCTAAAAAGAGGGACATGCTTGAGGGCACCGGTGGGCTCCAGAGGCGAGGTCTTCATGAGCGAGCGAGGGACGCAAGACATACCCAGGTTCGGGGCTCTCCGGTGAGATAATACCCCTAGTCCCGCCGAGAGTGGTTTACCAATGGAGCGTGTAATAGTACAGAGTTGCTCATGGAGCTGTTTGGGGGAGGAAGGATGGCAGGCCAATGCGTAGGCTGCTCCTTCTCCTTGTGTGTTTGAGTGTGCATGGGTGTGCTGCTAGCGGTTGTCCAGCCAAGTGCTCGCCTGTGTACGTGGAGGGCTCCTGGGGGTTTTATAGGTCAACCCCCCAAGGTTACAATGGTAAAGTTATAAGGCCATGGGGCCGGGATGTCAGCGTCTGAGAAGCCGGCGCTGGGACCCGCCGGGTACTAGGGAGTGCCGGATTCTCCGGGCGCAGGCCCCGTGCGCTGGGGGGCACTGGTGCCCATCTAGTCGTGCCTCGTGGAGTGGTTGAGCCGGCTCGGCTACAGTGGTGCGTCGCCTGGTCGCCATCGGCTTTGCGTCAGTGGAACTGGATTCCACTGTTGCCATGCCGACCTTGGTCGGCGGGGTAGGTGGGGCACTGTTGCCACGCTCGCCCTGGTCAGTGGAGTTGGTGGGCCACTTTAGCCATGCTCATCTCCCTTATAGGGACTTGATCCGTCGTACGCCCCAGATGGGACGGGAGCTGACCCACGGCTGGGTTGAGGAGGTCGTGGTCTTGGCGGGGTCGTCCGGCACGTGCCAACAGGCTCGTCCAGGCTGAGGGGCTTGGCCGGGTTGAGGAACCTGGCCAAGGACGAGCCGGATTGAGGGGCGATGCCAGCCCCGATGTATTTGAAAAGGATCCGGGTTCCGTTGCCTGCCCAGGGTTCATCCCCCGACAAGTTGTCCATCATCTTGTAGTCTCGAGTTCGATGCATATGGCATATCCTAAGACTTGAGGTCGTCGCATGATCCCAAACCAGAGCCTCAACATCCATCGTGCTTACCCCTTTATATAGCCATGGTCGCCCTCTTCCATATCCCCCCAAAACCTCGCTGGATTCCCCTAGGGCGCAGCGAATTGAGGTCGCCATTGCCTCCAATGTCGCTGTCGTGTGCCATTGATTCTGGTGAGAATCAAGGCTCCTCGAGCCATTTCTTTTTTTCATCTCATCTATGCACCCTGGTGCACAATTCTGACACCCAGTACATTCCCAAGCTGACCCTAGAGCATGTCGACAACCACACCGATTGCTAATGCCGCGACGTCGTTTCCGGCAAGGTGAGCTTTGAAGGAAATATGCCCTAGAGGCAATAATAAAGTTATTATTTATTTCCTCATATCATGATAAATGTTTATTATTCATGCTAGAATTGTATTAACCGGAAACATAATTGATGTCTACAACACAACCTTCTTCTTGTAGACGTTGTTGGGCCTCCAAGTGTAGAGGTTTGTAGGACAGTAGCAAATTTCCCTCAAGTGGATGACCTAAGGTTTATCAATGCGTGTGAGGCGTAGGATGAAGATGCTCTCTCTCGAGCAACCCTGCAACCAAATAACAAAGAGTCTCTTGTGTCCCCAACACACCCAATACAATGGCAAATTGTATAGGTGCACTAGTTCGGCGAAGAGATGGTGATACAAGTGCAATATGGATGGTAATATAGGTTTTTTGTAATCTGAAAATATAAAAACGGCAAGGTAACTAATGATAAAAGTGATCGTAAACGGTATTGCAATGGTAGGAAACAAGGCATAGGGTTCATACTTTCACTAGTGCAAGTTCTCTCAACAATAATAACATAATTGAATCATATAACTATCCCTCAACATGCAACAAAGAGTCACTCCAAAGTCACTAATAGCGGAGAACAAACAAAGAGATTATGGTAGGGTATGAAACCACCTCAAAGTTATCCTTTCTGTTCTATCTATTCAAGAGTCCATGGTAAAATAACATGAAGCTATTCTTTCCGTTCAATCTATCATAGAGTTCATACTAGAATAACACCTTAAGACACAAATCAACCAAAACCCTATTGTCACCTAGATACTCCATTGTCACCTCAAGTATCCGTGGGCATGATTATATGATATGCATCACACAATCTTAGATTCATCTATTCAACCAACACAAAGTACTTCAAAGAGTGCCCCAAAGTTTCTACCGGAGAGTCAAGACAAAAACGTGTGCCAACCCCTATGCATAAGTTAACAAGGTGAACCCGCAAGTTGATCACCAAAACATACATCAAGTGGATCATGTGAATATCCCATTGTCACCATAGATAAGCACGGCAAGACATACATCAAGTGTTCTCAAATCCTTAAAGACTGAATCCGATAAGATAACTTCAAAGGGAAAACTCAATCCATTACAAGAGAGTAGAGGGGGAGAAACATCATAAGATCCAACTATGATAGCAAAGCTCGTGATACATCAAGATCGTGCCATAGAGAGAACACGAGAGAGATTGAGATCAAACACATAGCTACTGGTACATACCCTCAGTCCCGAGGGTGAACTACTCCCTCCCTGTCATGGAGAGCGCCGGGATGATGAAGAAGGCCACCGGTGAGGGATTCCCCCTCCAGCAGGGTGCCGGAACAAGCTCCCGAGAGGTTTTTGGTGGCTACAGAGGCTTGCGGCGGCGGAACTCCCGATCTATCTTGTTCTTTGATGGTTTTAGGGTATATGGGAATATATAGGTGAAAGAAGTCGGTCGAGGGAGCCACGAGGGGCCCACGAGGGTGGAGGGCGCGCCCAGGGGGTTGGGCGTGCCCCCCTATCTCGTGGCCTCGTCGAAGCTTCCCTGGCTTGCACTCCAAGTTCTCTGGATTGCTTTAGTCCAAAAATAAGTTTCCCGAAGGTTTCATTCCGTTCGGACTCCGTTTGATATTCCTTTTCTTCGAAACACTGAAATAGGCAAGAAAACAGCAATATGCGCTGGGCCTCTGGTTAATAGGTTAGTCCCAAAAATAATATAAAAGTGTAAAGTAAAGCCCATAAACATCCAAGACGGGTAATATAATAACATGGAACAATCAAAAATTATAGATACGTTGGAGACGTATCAAGCATCCCCAAGCTTAATTCATGTTCGTCCTCGAGTAGGTAAATGATAAAAACAGATTTTTTTGATGTGGAATGCTAGCTAGCATAGTTCTCAATGTAATTTTCTTTATTGTTGCATGATTGTTCAGATCCAAATGATTCAAGATAAAAGCTTATAAAACATAAAAAATAATAATACTCGAAGCATACTAACAAATAATCATGTCTTATCAAAATAGCATAGCCAAAGAAAGC